TAAGGCGAAGACGGTGAGGACGGTGATGGTCACCCGTAGGGCCTTGTGCTTGGGCGACTTCTTGGCTTGGATCAGAGTGTGGATGATGATGGTGTAGCAGGAAGCCATGACCACGAAGGGAAGGAAGAACCCCAGGATCACCTTCAGGGTCAACACAGTCGACTTCAGCTTGGTGCTCTCGTCGTGAGGATAAACCATGGTGCAGACGATGATGTTGGATTCCTTCTTGATTTGGCTGTATAGGATTTCCGGGATGCAGAGCATGGCCGCCATCACCCAGACCGTAAAGCAAACCATTTTGCTGTACAGCAGCCTTTTCTGCCTCCAGGTCTGCGCTTTCGTGGCCTGAGCGATGGCGATGTACCTGTCCACGCTGATGCACATGATGAGCAGCACGCAGCTGTAGAAGTTCATCTTGTACGTGCTGTTGACCACTTTGCACATGAAGGTTTGGAATTTCCACTGGTCAGCAGCGGCGATGGCCCAGAAGGGAAGGGTGACGAGAAAGAGGAGGTCAGCGATCGCCAGATTCAGAAGGAACATGTCAGTCATGGTCTTCACTCGCGTGCAGTACCAGTAGACAAGGATGACCAGGCTGTTGCCCAAGGTGCCCACGATGAACACGAGCCAGTACAGCGGTGGGAGGAAGTAGCTCGCAAACTGCCTGACATTGTTTTTCTTACAGAAGAAGTCTATGAAGTTGAAGTTCATGTAGTCATCCATGGAAGATGTGGAGTCAGGGATGTAGTCCTCAGACAGGTTAGGGGCAAGGCTCTGCAAGGAGACACGAGATGGCGTTAGGTCAAGGAGGTCCTGTCTGATGACAGAGGCCTGGACCACTTGGTCCTTCCAGTCCCCAAAGTCTACGATGACAAAGAAATATATGTGTAGAAAGTGGGAATTCGAGCCATCTGCCTGGATCGTAACGGATTTATTTATCCAACGGATGTTTACTGAGCATCTACAACATGGCAGGTACTATGTACATGCCGAAGATACAGTGGTGAATAAATCAGCCACGGTTCCTGCTGTCATGGAATTACCTACCCGTGGAAGGAACATACAGGGAGTGAACAATTATACGACGCATGGCAGGTGGGGCGGGACCCCTTCAGGACCACCAATGGGCACAAACTTCTATCAGACTCTGTGAATGATTTCGATTGTCCCTTCTCTCTCCTCTACCCTCCGAAAAAGGTCCTCAGAG